AGCGTGTAGGTAGACACGAGCGTGTAGGTAGGACACGTGCGTGCAGAGTAGACACGCTGCGTGTAGGTACACACTGTGCGATGCAGGCTAGACACCGAGCGTGTAGGTAGACACGCAGCGCTGTAGGTAGACACCGCAAGCGTTGTAGGTAACACGTGCGTCAGGTAGACACGTGCGTGTAGGCTTAAGGACACGAGCGTGTGGTAGACACGACGGTAGGTAGATACTGTGCTGTGTATGCTAGACACGTGCGGTGCTAGGTAGCACACGCTGCGTCTGTAGTAGACACGAGCGTGTAGGTAGACAGCGTGGTGTAGGTAGCACACGTGCGTGTAGGTAGACACGTGGTGTTAGGTAGACAGCGAAGCTGCTAGGTAGCACACGAGCGTGTGTAGGTAGACACGTGCCGTGCAGGTAGACACGGAGCGTGGTAGGTTAGACACGAGCGTGTGTAGGTAGACACGACGTGTAGGTAGACACGTGCGTGTGTGTAGACACGAGCTTGTAGCGTAGACACGAGCGTGTTATTAGCTAGACACGTGTGTTAGGTAGATACGTGCGCTGTAGGGCGTAGCACACGAGCGTGTACTAGTAGACGACGAGCGTGTAGGTAAACACGTCGTGTAGGCTAGACACCGTGCGTGTAGGCGTATGCACACGTGCGTAGTAGGTAGACACGTGCTTGCAGGTAGACACGTGCGTTGCAGGTAGACACGTGCGGGTAGGTTTTGTAGACACGAGCGCCCGGCAGGTAGACAAAACGTGCGTGTTAGTAGACACGTGCGTGTAGGTAGACATCGCATTCGTGTAGGTAGACACGTGCGTGCAGGTAGGACACGTAGCGTGTAGCTAGACACGTGCGTTGGTAGGTAGACACGAGCGTGCAGCTCACGCAACACTGTGCCCGTGTAGTAGACCACTGTAGCGGTCGCTACGGTGACACGTCGTGTGTACGGGTTAGACACGAGCGGTATCGTTCGTAGCACACGATGCGTGTAGTAGACCAGAGCTGTAGGTAGACACACGTGCGCTGTAGGTAGACATCGAGCCGTGTACGGTTAGACACGTGGCGTGTAGGTACGACACGTTGCGTTGTATGGTTAGACACCTGAGCGTGTAGGTAGAACGTGCGTGTAGGTAGACACGAGCGTGTAGGTAGACACGAGCGTGGATCGTAGCGTAGACACGAGTCGTGTAGGAGTAGACACGTGCGTGATAGTAGGACACGAGCTGTTGTAGGTAGACACGCTGGAGTAGCACACTCGTGTGTAGGTAGGACACGTTGCTGTAGTAGACACGAGCGTGTAGGTAGACACGAGCGTGTTAGGTAGGACACGTGCGTGTACAGGTAGATACGTGCGTCGTTATAGGACACGACCCAGGTAACACGACCGTTGTTGTAGCTGAGAGACGTGTGTGTCGGTTGAGTGTGTGAGAGACGGTACTTGTGTAGGTTAGTGACACGAGGCGTGTTAGGGTAACACGAGGGGGGGGGGGGAGGGTGTAGGTAACAGCGTGCGTGAGGTAGACACGACGTGTAGGTAGACACGGGCGTGCGGTTAGGTACGACACGAGCGTGTAGGGGTAGACACGAGCGTGGTAGGGTAGACGACCGAGGCGTGTAGCGTTAGCGACGAGCGTGTAGGTAGACACGTGCGGTGTTAGGTAGACCACGTGCTGCTCAGGTAGACACGAGCGTGTAGGTAGACACGCTGCGTTGTAGGTTAGAACAACGTGCGGAGATCCTTCCTCCC